AAGGTGCGTGCGAGTGCAGCCTGTTGACCTGTTTGTCTTAGAATGCGATCGGTGAACGTAGCCATGGAAACAGGACAGCGTGGCCTTATAAGGGAATTTTGCCGACAGACGTACGATAGGTGCTGTGGGATGGTGGCTGCAGATGGTTCTACTCCAGTGGCACTTCGGTTGCTGTCAGGTAAGCTGGGAATTATAGAAGGAAGGTTAGTAATGGGGATCGGGATGAGAGTAAGAGAAACAGGTGGAAAAGAAAGAAGGGAGGCGTCAGCAGTAGCATGTTTTCGCTTATCCGCCCTTCTGTATACAGCGGATAAGGCGACCCTTGATAGTCTGTGCGACGGCCGATGTAGGATGTTTATGTTAATTATAAGGGATTTTTGCCGACAGGCGTCCGATAGGTGATGTGGGATGGTGGCTGGAGGTGGTTCTACTCCAGTGGCACTTCGGTTGCTGTCTATTAAGCTGGAAACGATAGGAGGTAGGTTAGTAATGGGGGTTGGGATGGGAGTAAGAGAAACGGGTTGAAAATAAAGAAGGGAGGCCAATTTGTCTTACACCCGTTTTGGCCAAAGTGATCGGGAAGATAGTAAAAAAGCGTCTAATACATCTGTTACAATCGAAAGAACTTCTGACACCGGCACAACACGGATTCAGGATGGGATATTCTTGTGTTACAAACTTACTTGTGACGAGACAGGAATGGTTGCAAGCACTGAACCGGGGAAAGTCCGTCGACGTAATCTACATCGACTTCAGCAAAGCATTCGACAAAGTCAATCATGAATTGCTTCTAGACAGATTAAGGTCGTGTGGTGTCGGAGGATCGTTACATCGATGGATCCATGAATTTCTCGTTGGAAGAAAGTGGAGGGTACAGGTGGACGGCCATCTAACCGATTGGTATCCCTCGACCAGTGGTGTACCTCAAGGTACGGTACTGGGACCCACTCTGTTTCTCATCCACATCAACGAGCTGCCCCAGCTTCTACGGTCGCCGTGTGCACTGTTTGCGGATGACCTCAAAATTTGGCGAGAAATTAATACTCTCGATGACTGTGACATTCTCCAACAAGACCTCGACCGCCTCGCAGTATGGTCTGCTGAAGTCCACCTACCGGTCAACCCGGTCAAGTCCCTATTCATGAGTCTCGGGAAGGCTGTTCACGGACGAACGTACACCCTAGACGGCCAACCACTGCATCCCACACCTTCCGTGAGAGACCTAGGTGTACTCTCACGCTGCGACTTGAAGTCCGTCGACAACACCAACAAACTGTATCGAAACGGACTGCGCATGCTCTGGGCGCTGAAACGCAGCTTCTGCACTTGGTCTGAGGACGTCGCCACTCGCCTCTTCTCTTCCATCGTCAGACCAATGGTAGAGTACGGCTCGCCTGCATATTGTCCGATCACTCGCGGCGAAGCGCAAAAGATCGAACGAGTACAACACATCGCCACCAAGTTGATCCCCAGCTTGAGAGGCTTATCGTATGAAAACCGGTGCATGAAACTTGGGCTCTACACCTTGTCATATCGCCGTGTTCGAGTGGATCTTATCATGACCTACCGTATTTTACATCTCGGTCATTTCCCCATGCTAAGGTCGTTACTCCACTTGCGAGTACCATGCACCACACGTGGGCACAGGTACAAACTCGTGGTACCTGATCTGAAGAAAATCCCACACCCCCTGTGTTTCGAGCGGAGGGTTGTGCACGCCTGGAACAGTCTGCCAGAACACGTCGTCGAGGCCGAATCTGTGCAGAAATTCAAATCTTTGTTGGATGTACACTTCGCTAACATACGTTTCAGAGAACGGTTGCCACTTGACAACGATATCACCCACTTGTGACTCACTGTGTAAACAAGCATTTTGTGTGCTACAGAAGGAGTTGCTGAACCATCTCAGGATAAACACCGGACGTGTTTATTTATTTTTTTTCAAATGTTTTTTGATTATCACCCGATGGAGTTGTACAGAATTATTTTCTACTTGCTCCAAAATACAGTATTCAGTATTCAGTCAGCAGTAGCATGTTTATGCGCCCTGCTGTAAGAAGCAGATTAGGGGACCCTCAATAGTATTTGCGACGGGCGATGCAGGATGAAGTTTATGTTGGAAGAAAGTGTCATGGTTGTATGTGGGTTGAGATACTGCCAGGGCGTCCAGACCTAGAGAGGAGGACGATTACGATCCTCATCCAAAGCCTTTGGCTCAATCGCAATGATTTAGTTTTACAGAAATGGACGTCATCCCATTTCAACCTCCCAACAAGGAAGACCAGGAGACTTAGTTTGTCTGACCACTCACCATTGACAACCACCAAGTATAGCTCAATGGGTGAAAGATGTACGCAAACCGTCGCACCACGTTAAAGTCCAGTCTCGTTGTGACGGCAAGGTCCAGTCTCATTGCAGTCAACGAGGATTCTTACGTAAACGCTAGTCGTTTTCTCCGGGGGACGAGGGTCGTTTTTCGTGGGACGACGGTCGTTTCTTCGTGAGAAAAAACGGGACATGAGCATCCCTGTTATACAGCGCTAGTGAGGAAGAAGGGTAAAGTGGGCATGCCGTGCTGAAACCATGCTGAAACACTGAAGTGTGCTACTCGTAGGGTGGGGAGATCTAAAATTACCGATCAACAGTACAGAATATGATGCGTTGCGGCAATTACTGTTGTACAAAGACAGTCATTGGCGCTTGCGAAATACTGTCTACGTTGAGTCGCTAATAGTGATGTCCATTATGTTTTCGAGCACAATAGACCTTCCGATGCCAAAGTAGACAGAATGCTGCAAGCGAATCAGCTGAGTCAAGTTTCTCGCATGTGCTGCATGTCGATACTGTGTCTCGCTGACAAGGCGAAGAGAAACTAACCACAGAGTCGAGTCACATAGATGCGTGCGGATGTGCGGAACTCGAAAGCAGACACACGATTTGTTAGAAGTCGCACCCGAAACACTGTGGTTAAGATCACTTGTGCATTAGCATTCAGTGTCAGAATGCCGGAATCTCGTCCCGACGCTTCGTTGCAATTTAACCTCAACGGCTGCATACAGGATTGGAAACTATGGGGTCGCTCCGTACCTACGCACGTTCGAGCCAGTGACTGATGAAGTACAAGCCGACGCCTGAACCACTTCAACACCGAAGGAATTCCACACGAGGTGAAAGCTGAGTTGACGGTTATTGTAATGATAAATTGAGCTTGGTAACTTGATCCGTCTCACTCCGGTGACCAGGTGGACGGTAGAAATCTAACTACATACGACCCTTCCCAAAAATATGGAGGCGCGGTGAGAAGTATGGTTGATATTTAAGCAGGCGAACATGATCGCATGAGAAGCAAAAACAACTGAGTCGCCGCTACCACTCCCCCACCACCAATCGCGGGTGGGCTGCGTATACCGCGAGGTCGCCAGAATCATACTCATTGATGCGGTAGGTCACATCTACCAGCCGGTATATTCCATTTATCCGCTACGTCTCAGGAGAACGACAGCCATGATGTGCGTTCGAAGTCTGTGCTAATTGTAGGCTATAGCCAAGCGCTGAATGTGACATAAGTAACAGACCACTGGTCAGTTCGCTAGGAAGTTTGAAGGATAGTAGACACACGGCCTGAAGCAGATCAATAGGGTGTAAATTGTCTCCATCGCAATTTCGACAGTGAGAATCAACCATCCAGGTCAGCGCAGTATGGATGAGGGGTGTTTCAGCCAATTTCCAGATTCCGAATTATGAAGCCGAATGCAACGGCACTTGAATATGGATGGGACCCAAAGTAAGGCGGCTAGTTATTCAAGCGGTAATATGTGATGCCGATTGAACCTCTAAAGAATACTGAATACTGAATACTGTATTTTGGAGCAAGTAGAAAATAATTCTGTACAACTCCATCGGGTGATAATCAAAAAACATTTTAAAAAAATAAATAAATAAACACGTCCGGTGGTTATCCTGAGATGGTTCAGCAACTCCTTCTGTAGCACACAAAATGCTTGTTTACACAGTGAGTCACAAGTGGGTGATATCGTTGTCAAGTGGCAAGAGTAGCACTCATTCATACTAAGGCGAAACGGAAACAGCCGAAAATGCCAAACTCATCAGCAGTACGCCGTACCGACGCTTCGCTGCCGTGCCGGGCCGAGGATACCGCGAGGGTCGCCCAGTTCATTTGCAGACTCGAACCCGCGTCCTCGGATTATAAGGCAGGCTTGTGATCCTTAAGGCTACAGACCTGTATCGGATGTGTCGTAGACAATAGGTAAACAAGAAAGCATCGCTGCTGTACAGTGGAACGGAAACGGTATATAACAAGTCACGAGAGATTGAGTTCCGTCACAAGCTTTTCACTAAAATAAGACCAGTGTTGACTGGTTGCTATCTCTTTCCCCCACTACTGTGGATAAATTTACAGTAGGTTGCCAAGTTTTAGCGCATCGCTTACATTATCGGAAAAAAGCATCAGCAGTACGCCGCACTGACCCTCTATCGCCATGTGATCATTACCAGCCGCGCGCGGGGGCTAGCGATATTGCGAGAGCCCCTGCAGCTACGCAGACGCCTTATCGTTTTAGCCAGCGGATGACAAGCGGTGAGAAACGCTGTTGACTGAAGATTCAAGGAAAGTAGGCTCACAACAGTGGGATATGAGTGGATAAAAGATGGATTCGAGCAATCAGAACACACTGGGAGAGTTTGCAATAACCATCAAGTACCAAGAGGACGCTGGTATAAGAAATCCTCAAAATTAGTAGGTACGCACTTTGAAACGAAGCAAGTGGCCCGACTGGAGGCTAGCAGAAATAGTTCAAACACCATACATACGACCCGATATAGATAGGAGCATCCGAAACGAAATGTCTCGACAGTCACGTGATGTGGTGGGAAACGGGAACAATGCGGTATCGCGTCGATTAACCTCGAGAAAGCAACAGTACCGCACATGTGAGTCATTGAGTGGATATTGCTAGTCACAAAAAATTGAGACGAACAAATATATGCCAAAGTTTATTTCGACCAAAACAATGTTCACATGCGGAGAAATATGGCAACCAACATTTGAAACATAAACTGAAAGAGTGAATGAAAGCGAAAGAATGAATAAAAATACATGAGCGATATACAGCAGTTATCCGGATCCTAAGTCCCCCAGTCTCACCTCTCATAATCAAGTGGGTCCAATGGAAACGAAGTATGTACAAGCATTTACACAGATGAGGAGTGACTGGGAAGTGATGAGATACAAAGTAGATCAAAGTCAACGATGATAGTCGGTTACACAGGGCCAAATAGACATGGGTTCTCTGTGGGTTAAGTTGGACGACGAGGCTGTACAGAAGTGTCCTCTGAGTGAAGATTGGATGCTAGAGCACAAATCTACACCAACATCGATATTATTGCTTAGTTGTAAGACCGAAAAAAGAGTATGTACAGCGCGGTGGTAACAAATGGTGACTCCAATGGTGATGCGATGATGGCAGAAAGATTCAACTATTTTTTGCAGTAAGGACAGTAGTAAGTATCAACGTTTGCGTCGCTCGGTTTTATGCCAACACACACTTGGTGATACCATAGAGTGCATTTATCACACTGGATCCAGTCAATTGCAATGTCCTGGGGTTGTTTACAAGGTCGAGCCGAACACTCTTCCCCGCTGTCATAATGAAACATCTCACTGCCACTACCTTCGGCATCACCATCAACGCTCCCCTTCGATTTGCCGGACTTGACGCGCTTTTCCTTGGCATGGCTACTCTTGGTGGCGGAGGGCTTGCGTGAGGCGGAATTGGCGTGAGTAGACCTCTTGCTTTTTTCGATCCCGTTCGTCTTCTTTTTAGAAGACTTCGTGCTCAAGGACGATCGTCTATCCACAAAAGAGTCGTCTGCACCCTCCTCACCATCTTCCTCCGAATCTTCCTCGTCATCTTCCAGCTTTCGGCGGCTAGCGCTAGCATTAGGCTTCTTGAATGTCTTGTGTCGGTTTGTGTTGCGGACCGACGTGGCCGAGGATAAGTTTGGTTTCGAACGCTTTACTTCATCTGCGGAGCCCTCAGAAGCTTCATCCTCAATATCGGAACGTTGGGTGGAGGAAACAGTTGAACCAGGTTGGGTTGGATTAGTCTTTCGCTTTTTGGATCCAGCAGAATTAACTTCTTTTTCTTTAGAGGGTGCATCGCTTAGCTCCACCTGAAGAGCAGAAAGGAGAGAAACAATCAAAATCCAGAACACGAGGAACAGACGTAACATAAAAATTCAGAGCGCCGGATATGAATACATTAGATTTTGGAAGGTAGGACCAACTGGTGCGTGGATGATGATGCAAGTATATATAAAAATCCTTGAAAAACACCAGATAGGCGTCTGAAGAAACGAGGCGCGTCTGCCTGGTAGCCCACAGCTACCAGTTCGTATTTGTGAGTCAGAATAACCTCACGTATGCCTAGCCTGCGCGCGACTGGTGGTGGTTGTGTCGGTGTGGTACCGATGTCGAATACGTAAAAAAGCATATAGTTGACAATCAGTATTGGCATGGGCTTCAGAAGATATAGACCGGCAGTAAGTGCAGCGCAAATGACCGCTGAACGGAAGCTGTTATACAGCAAAACCTGCGAGAAGGGCCGTTAGCCACCACTTTGTGGTGTATTTAACCTGAAAGACGGTCGTGTTATCTTAACAAGGCAGTGGTATGTAGTTCGCAAAACGAATAAAAATGTTAACGAGGGCGCTCAGTGCAGGATGTAGAGAAAAGCATTAGCGGTACGCTGTATTGAAGCTTTGCTGCTACATGACCACTACCAGTGGTACTCAACCGGTGGCCCCAAGATTACAACGCAGGTATGCAATCCTCTAGACCACCGGACAACAGGATGTAGGGAATCGGTCTAGCACTGACAAACCAGGATAGATCAAGCGAGGAAGAACGACCGGAATCAAGAAGTGAAAACATACTAAGAGCTGAGGTGGGCAAAATGCTGCTGAAGAAATTGTAGGGCAGATGTCAAGTTGTAGATAGCATAACACATTAAGTGACGTAAAAGCAACGAGAGGGTCATCTGACATTGCTTGGACAAGTTTCTGCTCATTCATCAGCCGATATTCAATACATGTGGACCTCTAGAACTGGTAATAAGGAAGACAGCTGAGAGCACGCAGCAGTGAGCGAGTTTAGCTATGAAGTTTGAAAGGCCTAAAAATAAGTAACAATAAAAATGGCGGCCGTTATGCTATGTTATGTTATGTATTGGACCACAATGTGTCACGTTTTGATTCAAGAGCTGACTCATTATTCAGATTTTACAATGGACAACCTGCGCAAATCATTGATTTGGGTAGCGATAGTAAAATGTTGGAAGAATGCGGGGTTTGGACTCAACGAAATGGCAGTAACAAGAGAATCCACCTAAATGATGGTCGATTTGTTAAGAGCAATGTTCGTTATTGTAGGTCTGGGAACACCAATTCGTGGGTTATGGTGCTGTAATAGTAAGGGAGCGGACAGAAGGGGACTAGAACCCAGTTGGGCAGATGAGCTGGTTGGGTAGTAACTCAAGTGAATAGTGGTTCGAAGCAGTAACCGATTCAAGAGGATGCAAATACGAAGCAAAATGTTAGTCGGAAATAGTGTGACGCAAATGCTGAGTTGATCATCGAGATTTGGACCTTAAGTAATCTTTCGTAATGAATGTCTGGGACGTCGGTGAGCCGACATGGAGGATGCTCGTAAGTGCTCGGTGTACTCATGTTTTGATAGCCATCAGAAACTTGAGGTGCAGTTTTGTGCAAACATCCGGAATGCAAAGTATTTCGATTCATCAAGCAGCACACTCATCCGGCTTCACTTGCTATACGGCAAGGATAGCAGCAAATTGTTGGTGACCAGCCAAGAGAATTAATGAGAAAGGGTAACAATATAAGCAATGCTTCAGTACAATTAACTCTGTTAGTACAGTACAGTTAGGATCCAGCGAAACTAAGGACTATGCGAGAATACCATGAATGAACAGGTGTCGGCGAGAGTTGTTCAAATAGGATGGAGAATTTTAAAGAACCATGAACCACACGAAGATGATATCAATCTTGTCTGCAAGTAAATGGACGCCATCCACTGTCGAAATAGCAAGGTAGCATTGTCACTGAGAGGGGAGTGGAGAATGTTAAATGAACTAAAGGAACAAGGATAACAGCGCTTAACCTATGCAATGGCCATGATGGCCTCTAATTACTGTACTAACGAGACTGTTTCGAGACACATGCCAATGAACTTATGTGAAGCTTAGCGTAATGGGCAACTAGCTGTTTCCACGACGAAATATCTGAAGAAATGAGCTTTATTTATGAGCTGAGCACGTGTCGAGTTAAAAGCACGATACCTATCAACGCAACGCTAGTACATACCACTTGCTCGCACTATTGCCGCTTCTAGCGAAAGAGTCGATATCGCGACTAATGGTATAAAGATGAAGTAACGAAGCAATTAACGCATGATCGAGGCGCAGTGCTTTGAGCTTGTGAAGCCACTGAGTGACCGAAAAATCCCTCACCTGGAATAAGTTAAGGAATTTATCGAGCAATATTAGTAGGACTGAAATATTAGATCGCCAAATGCCACATTTTAAGGCTCGGTCGTTAGTTTATTGACTGCAAAGGTAGTGCAACAAGACGAGCGGTTCCACATGCCCCAGCTGCATAGAAGAAAGAAGGTAGCAGCAGTACACCGGCGCGTCGTAATGATGCCTCGCTGCCACGTGACCATTAGCCGTGGGGACAAGGGATGTTAGCCGGTCACCCGGAGCTAATCATGAACATTTAAGTCAGTTATCAAGTCACATTTGCACAGATTGGAATTGGCGACAGGAGGATCATAAGTCAGACGCCATACATAACTGACTACCGGTCAAATACTCGGATCCACAAACATATAATGGATATAAATCAAACTAAAGGCAGCTCAAGTTAAGTGTTGAAATGTTGGCTTGCTGGTCGAGGTTATCAACTTTCCTGCGGACGTTACGTTATCAATTGAGGCGACATTTCCTGTACGCAGTAGTGGGCTGCAAACAGCTTCGCCCCTCGGATCCGTTCGAAGCAAGTTTTCTAACAGCGAGCCTCCTACTACGAACTGAAGATGTTGCCTCGATTGGTAAGGAAACGTCTGCAAGATAATCGTTTAGCTCGGGGAACAAGTAAACATGTAACGCAAAAACAAATCGAAGCCATTTACCTATGCTGCATTCCGACAAGCAGCGCTTGTCTATAGGCCAGAGAATCGATGGTCACACGAGTAAACATGGTGCTGAACAGAAGATGAGCACGTCCTTCGTGGTGCGACAACGGATAGCGTGAAAAGACAGACCGTAGTGGTAGTTAACCTTAGTCGTGAAACGCCGGTCACTGTGACAACAGGAGATATTAAAACCCCGCAGATGGTGAATTCATTGATTGCATGGAATATGAAGAAGCACGACGGGGCCCCGACTCTTGTTTTAGATGCCCGGAACTGGTCAAGAGTGTATAACTCGCGTTAGTCATTCAGACTTTCATCAAAGCCAATTGCACCTTATCCAAACCGGCGTGGCGTAACTACCCTACTACCTTGAAAGGCACATTACGGCCGAGCAAATCATGTATGTACGTGAGATAAATAATGCGTATTAACGTCTTGCAAGGTGATCCTAAAAAAGTCGATCAGCGAGGTGGCCGACAGACAAATTGTCTGTAACCCACAAGGCTAACCCGTGTCACACAGAGGACGAGAAAAGCTGCAATGTGGGTAAAGTAGTCCTGACTAGAAAAGTAAGCAAAGTTTCAGTTGACAAAACGCTGTTATGCAGGCTACCTGCCAGTGCTTGCAGGTGGTCTGCTATGCAGGAACGCAAGCTAAACTGCTCAAGCCTGGAAACGCTTCAGATCAGTTAGTCAAGTGGCGCCTGATGTGAGGACTGCGCGTAAGACAGCACCTATCAAAATTTGGAAGGATCAGTACTTACCCTGTATTTAAGATCTGAATAAAAAAGAGAAACTTTTTCTCCTGGCTTTAATTTCGCTCCGTTGAGGTGGCCGAAGCAAACGATGTCTCCATGCTTTAAAGTAACACCACCGACGACTCGTGTGTAATTAACATAAGTGCCATTCATGCTGTGGTCGTATAATATAGATCCACCTCTCGCAGACCGCTCTATGGTGGCGTGGTTGCGGGAAATCATCCGGGCATTGATACAGCTTTCTATTGGGTAGTCCGGAGGGTTCTTTGTGTTAATCCGGCCGATACGAATTTCCTTTTGACCTGGCTTTAGTTCTATCTTCTTGGGACGATATTGGTCACTCGAGGAACTCACACACCCGGCCTGCTCTCGCTTATCTTGATCGAGATCTCCTATCCACCGAAGAGTGACTGTGCTCATTCCGCCAAAAAACCGACACAATGCAGAAAGCCAGCGAACAAAAAGGATCGGGACAAACAGTAATGCCTGAATTAAAAGTGACCGGTTTAAACAAGGTTTACAAGTTCTCAGAAAGCCCAATGAATTAAACATTTAAACATAAGCTACATTACAGACGTCATCATAGGTTAAACTTTAATTAACATTTCCCTTGCACTGTCTGTGTAATTGTATTGTGGGACCCCGATTTGCGTCCAGTGTGCATGCCAGTTAACCTGAAGCCGTTTCTCTTTATACATAATAACATGAATGTTTAATGATTGTAACGTTCGAACGTTTATTAGTTTACTGCCTTAAATTGTTACTTTTATGCAGCATGCAGCGATCCTGGCTGGGAGAATTTTTAGTCCTTACGCACGCACTTTCATCCATACTGCACTTTATAATTGCGACTCATAAACGTGGAGCCTTCACTGAAAAATAAACACTTTTATATGAAGCACGTTGTTACCATGGGACACCTTAGGTTTTATCCACCATAAATCGCACTAGTTACTTAACAGCTGACGTACGGTTGGCTGGTTCGTTGGCACATGAATTCTGATGTAGTCAGGAGTAGGGATTTGTTATAAATAATTGAGTTTTCTTCGCAGCCAGTTCCAAATCAGATAGTCAAATACATGCCCGGATAAGAGCTAGACTGCAGTTTCAGCCTGTTGGGCATCATCAGCCGTGCGCATCCATCGGATCCATCAGAATTCGAAACCATGCCCATCAGCGGCTAGGGCGGCCTGCCAGCAGCTTAGGTCACTGGGCCACGGTGGACAGTTTCGGACCGTCGCGATTTGCAAATTAACGGTGATATAGCGCATTTTAACCTCCACTGTCACTCAAGCTACGAACGTTCCAGAGGACAGTTTTTGCCCCGAACGACACGACGTCCACTGACAGAAGCGATGTTTGGTATAGCATTTAGATACTGGCAGGGCATATTACTTTTGACGTATGCAAGATTAGGGGGCTCTGGTATGAAAAAGTGCGGGTTTGTCGCAGTCAGTTTCAACGCACATGGTTGTCCATCTGCCCGGAAAACACTAGACGGCAGTTTCAGCCTGTTGGTCATCATCAGGATGCGAAACCACGAACGCCAGCGATTTGCACCGCTAGCCAGCAGCTTAGGTCACTGGGCCCCAAGGGACAGTTTCGGACCGTCATGCTTTACAAGCATAGTGTGATATAGCGCGCCTTATGCTTCACTGTCATGCAAGTTACGGAGGTTGCAGAGGAGTGGGTCGACCCCGCAGGACGCGACGTTCACTGACAGCTTTAAACCGCAGTTAGCTCGCAACTCGTGACGGTCCGAAGCTGTCCCCCGTGGCCCAGTAGCATAACCTGCTAACTGGTGGTGTTGCAAACCGCTGGTGTTTATGGTTTCGAATGGTGATGGAGGAAATGGATGCGCACTGCTGATGATATCCAACATCTGAAAATGCAGCCTAGTGCTTTTCCGGGCATACGGATGACTATCTGATTTGCAATTTGCTGCGCCGAACCCTCAGCTACTTATACCAAAACCAACTACTGATGACAACATTAAAATATATCAGCCCGACATTTTCTAAATGCAATGTCGTACCTCGCTGCTGCCAATGGACGTCTTGTCCTTTGGGACAAACCCTCTACTCTGCAACGTTTGTAACATGCATGACAGTAGAGGATAAGACGCGGTATATCGCAATAGGTTTGCAAATCATGTCGGCCGGTAGCTGTCATACGTGGCCTATTGGCATAAGCTGCTGACTGGCACTGCAAACCGCTGGTGGTCTTGGTTTTTAATCCTGGTCGTTCTAAGTGATGTGCACAACTGTTGAGGTCTGACAGGCTGAAACTGCAGTCTAGGGCCTTTCCGGGCATAAGGACGCCTAACTGAGGTTGATGTCATGCACTTGTAAGGGTATAGAATGTTATCTACAATCTTCAACTTTGCTACACCCCTGCATCGCGACAATTTCTTTATGGGCCTGAGGTACTTGACCAGTACGCCAGGCAAAAGCGTTAATGAGCAGTAGATCCAGTACGGATGAATACAGGCAGGGGCGACGCGTAGAATCCAATCATGGGGCCAGAGGAAGTTCGCAGGTATGAGACATAGAACTATTGTTTCCTGTATGCTGTGAAGGTTCCGTTTTTGTGGCATGACCAAGCTGATTCGCAGCTAAGCTTAACAACCGAGTAGTTGTTATTGTTGTGAAACTACTGGGCCCTAAGTGCGGTTCTGTCCCTTGCTACATTACACCCGACAGTTCCCATTGTACTGTATGGCGCTCCTTCCTACAATGTTGTTGCTGACTTTGAATTTCAAAACTTTGCATCATTTTCTCAATTCTAGTTTTATGTGGTAGCTTATCGGTCTTTCAAATCCCTTTGCTGTAGACTCCAACCACTTTGAAACGTAATTTCAGGGCAACTAGTACCCATACATTCATCCCATTTCTAGGATTCCCTATTTAGTTTTTCTCTTTTCTTTCGCTTGTCACGTCTTTTCTTTGTCACATTCATCTTCCCATTCCTGCTTCTAGTTATTAAGATACCTTCCCCCGCGTCGATACTCTAGATGGTCGCAGAACACAAATTATTAAATATTTTTTGCTTTTCATGTGTCACTTGCACTGTGTTGCAACCTATATTACTTTTACATTCACACCACATGTTGCCACAAGTTTCCTTTGTAGCCTCTGCTGCCCCCCTTTTCTTTTCTTTTCTCTTCTCTTCCCCGAGGTCAGAAGTTATCAATAAGAACTTACTTATCTGGCCTGGGGTCTGCTACCGACCAAACCTATAAAGACAAAAGTGGATCAACTCAGTTCTCCAACACACTCACTCTCATCCTGGTCTAATACCACTGGGAAATTTGATCTGGATGTCCTTATCTAGAGGATTGGATCAGCAAAGGCCTTTTTACAAAAGAGCCCTCAAAACAAATGATTACCACATATCTGATTCACTCCATAAATACCTACCCCTTGGTCCCGCCTCTCAACCGTCCACTCGCCCTCTTATGGCTTGTCATCAACCGCAGGCTGCTCAACCGACAACGAAAACATGACTTCCCCGTGACACTAACTGGGTGGTTCGGGTCTACCCTGTTCCAGCAAATGTTTAGCGACAGTGCTCCAGGACGTGGTAGGTTTTCGCCCGGCAAGCGTTCTCCCTATAAAAAGCCACTGATGTCTGTTTAACAGCACTGCGACAGGGCGGATGTGACTCGCCCGTAACAAAACTCACGGCCTCATGATTACCCAACCAACCAACCACACTCTCATCACGGACGTCTCAACCCTTCTGATACTATCCACGCGAGCAATCACGATTGTATTGGCACACATGCAAACTGAAATAACAGATAGACCCAGATACCTCTATGTACATGTATGAACTCACAGCTTCAATGTTCATGGCTAACTTGTACCATGTCTTATACATTCCCCGACATTTAGTTGTACCTTTAACATGCTCCCGCCTACATAGGCGTGCCTCGCATTGCAAGAAAATAAAGAATTTATTCATTTATTTATTTACAGCTGTGTACACCCTGTCGCCATCGATGAGTTCCGGACATTGCCGGAGAAGCTGCTAACATGGATCCCCTTTGTGCATTGAAAAAGAGGCAGCCTTGCATTTTGACCCCTTAAGCGACAGTTCTCGTGCCTCGCTTCACAAATTTAGTTTCATGGTGCTATAGGGAGCAAAAGGGAACATTCTCCCATTCGCCGGCAGGATGAAGCGTGTCGTTGCTAACCTATGTTTACCGGGGTATCAGCACTGCTGCAGCAAATACAGTGGAAGCCGGGCGTTCTATTCATATAGTTTCCCAACTGTTAGCATAGGTTCCATCCTGCATTTTGGCCCTTTTTGCTCAAAAGACGTCAGGATATGTACTAAATAATTAAATTCATGGTATATTTCTCGGAAAACCGAGACACGAACTTACATACCTTCGGAAATCAACTTCCGTATCACTAGGGCAGATGTGAAAACAAACCAACGCGGCCTTGAAAGCAGCGGTTGTCTTTTACGACGAGGATTACCCTTACGTTAAGTTCTGCAGACACTGTAGTTTTACAGGTATGGTATAAATGCATCTTTCTTCGAATAACTTCAAAGTCCCTGAGGCCAACCGGCTGTATACAAATTTTGAATGCAAAGGCTGAAATAATACGCATGATGCCGGATTTGTTGCACTTAGTCACTAAATAAATAAATAAATAAATAGTATATTCTCGAATTTCCGAGACACACCAGACCATGCATGATCAACGTTTACAAGCGATTATGTTTCGCAACAAACACGTTGCTATGTTTGTAATCGGCAGTAAGCCGAAAGTTGTCCAAGCTTTGGAAATTGTACAATTAATCTTGAGGTATAAATTCGTCAATGCATGACGACAAGTTGGGTTCTAGTGTGCGTAGTGTAAACAGGCTGGGCATTTCTTTTGTAGAGAAAACTTGTCAGGAAAATATTACATTAGGATTCTGGTCGGCTTGCCAGTATGTAGTTGTGAGCAGTGACTTTATTCAGTGGCAAGTCACATCCGCCACGTCGCAGTGTTGTTAAGCGGACATTTGTGGCTTTTTATAGGGAGAACGCTTGCCAGGCGAAAACCCACCACGTCCTGAAACACTGTCGGAAATCCGTTTGTACACTAATTTAAAACTGGCAGAGCAGCTCGTCGACTGATTTAACCCTCGGTTAACCGCCGTCAATTGCCTTCTAATTTCCTCTGTTAGCTGAACAGGTTAATTTTGCTCGGGGCGGCCATAATGGCTGAGGCCTATGGAGGGTTAGACCTTCGTCATCTTCGTGTCCAGGTGAGCAAAACTTACGATTCTTGCGCCTAGATTTCTCAGGATTATGGATACTTCGCAGGAGTACGAAGGCGTCATGTCCAGCTACCATTACTGGACGACGGTCATGGTAGTGAGTGCATGTTTATCCACTTGTTGTACAGCCGTGTTCTATGTAGGTCCTTAAGGGTTTCTATGTCCTGTCCCAGGCACAAGCACTTTCACGGTCCGATCTCAGATCCCCAAGAAGTTCCAGACCTCGGAGAAA